AAAAGGGGGGGGGGGGGGTTCCCTAGGGGACCAGAAACTGCTTGAATTTTGCCCAGAATCCTGCTAACTTGGCTGAAATTCGAGCAGTGCATGGCCAGCTTTACGGTCTGAAATAATGACACACACTGAAACCTGAAACTTAACGTTGCCATGCACTGATCTATTTTTCTCCTTCAACCTGTGGGCTGAACGTGAAAAATAAAGCAGATTCCTACACCAACACTAAGGAGTGTGCTGATCGCGGAATCCCGCTTTTTGCATGGTAATTTTGCCATAGGCCACTGTCAAAATACGCTACGAGGCCCGGCAGCTCATTGGCTGCCAGCTCCTACCTCACAAAAATTTTCCTGCCAGCTCCTTCGATCAGCTGATTGAGGGATGCAGCAGTACACACTGTGCAAGTACAATGTCTTGTGACAGAGCTCTTTGTTTAACACGGTTATGACTACTAAGAGGCTGGAAGACAGTAGGATTGACCTATTAAATGAGTAGAGGCTGTTCACTTAGCAAAGTTGATCAGAAGAAATAAGGTGGATCTGTTTTCAATACCCAATCATGTATGAGGGAAACTGGAAATATAAACAGGAATTTGTGCTAACATATGATTGGTTGATTGACGTGAACACACCTTTAGCTTTTTTGCAAATCTCACAAAACTTTTACTTTGCTAAGTGACCTGTTCTTATTACTTAAAGTAAATTGATCCCAGATCTCATTATCAAAAATAATTCAGGCAGAAACGCTTAGAACTCACGGGGCTTCTCACCTCTGACTAAGCTCCAGCAGTTGCCCTTAGAACACTAAATAAGGTTGTAAAAATAGACCATTCATAACCTAAAGAATTATAGTTCATGACCAAAGCTGGCCATACATTAATATTTTATTTGTTCAACCTGTGGGCTAAATGAAGAAAATATAAGAGATCTCTCCATCAATGCTTGCGAGCATTCACCGAGGAATTTCCTGCAATCTTCACTGCATTCTGATGGCAGCCGTCAAACAGGAAGGATGGAGAAATCTCCACTACTGTATATTGTATTCAGACATCTGCGGCCACCTGATTATGCAAACAGTGACTGCATCTGTCTGACTAATCATTTTCCACCAGGCCCACCCACAGCTCAAATTGTGACTAATTCAGCAGGAATCAGCCAACATTTGGCCCGTGTATGGCCAGCTTAAATGTTTAGACTCTTGCACTAACCTGGTTCTCTTAAGTGAACAAAGAAGCTTCAGCATTCCCTCAGGCTGAGAAAACATGCTGTGACCTGTAGTTGCTCAGCAGCAGGATAACCACAAATTACTTTACACTGAAGCTGGAGAAGACAAAGATAGCCGATGGATCTCGAGACGCAAGGGCTCATTCAAAAGGACTACAATCTCTATGGGCCTGTTCCTACTGGGCAGCACCCAGCCTTTATTTGTAATCCACTTGCAGCAGCTCTATCCTGCTCCACTCTCTCCATTGCCACATAACCAAAGGGAGCTACAATATTATAGGCTGCACTAGAGACTGACCTTTTACAGCCAGACTCAACACACAAACAGTGCAGGGTACACCACTGATATTAGTGCATGGAAGCCTTGTTTAGTCAGCAATGCTTCTCTATGCATTTCCTGGGCTCAGTCATGTGACATCACACTACATATGGCAGTGGTTCCCAACCTGTGGGTCGGGACCCCCTCGGGGGTCGAATGACGCTTTGCCAGAGGTCGCCTAGTGGCTCTCGGCCACCGGGAGAGAAACACTTTCTCCCGGAAAATGGCCTAATGCACGGAATGTATGAAAAGCAATCACCAGCGAACTGAACACAGGCTACACTGTGCACACTATGCAACATGTCACTGAGCATTAAAGTGGCACTAAACTCAGGAGTTAAGGTACTTGAATGGATTGTTAAGATTTGACTCCTGAGTTTAGGGTCACTTTAAAGCCGACCTTCACTCACTTTCCATAAACTTACTCCTTCACCTGCCCTTCTTTCACACAATCGCAAATTTGTTTTTTGGAAGTACCATTTTTGATGCGCAAAGCCGCTTGCTTCTGACAAGAAAGGACTTACCCTAGGGGTGAGCAAAATAATACGGACTTCTGGAGCCACTCTGTTCAATACAAGACAATTAGAGTAAACCTCAAAAGTTGGGCGTCGGCTGTGATTTTTAGGGAGCATTGGCTAGGAGTCTCCTGAGATATGTCCAGCCCTGACTTACCACCAGCTGCCAGTGTTCTGTCCAAACAGCCAACTTGTCGAAACCTCTAATTATATCACTTCCAGCAACTTGCCAGTAGGAGATTGCGATGAGTTGGCGTAGTGCGCATGCCGGACAGCATAACAATAAACCAGGGGATTTCTATAGCACAGCATAGCGCATTAACAACTCACTCGTCGAGTTCTCCAACACCAGTGAGTGCAAATGCACACTGACAGCTGTTGGAGAACTGGATGAGTATTGTGAAAATGCAACTGTACAGAGCTACTCCAGTCTTTCTGTTCTGCAGTTTCGTACACAGTAACACCAATTCTGCCAAATTTCCTGCTGGCAAGTTACCGGAAGTGATCCAACTAGAGATTTTGATAAATTGGCTCTTTCGACAGAACACCGGCAACCTCCTGGCATACTCGCATCACACATCCCAGGAGGCTTTGGGGCAATCTATAGAAAATATGCTTGTGAAACTTAGTCAGGGGGCTGATTGTCTCTTCCTGGTTCTTGTAGTCGGCCCCCTGATGCACAATGGTACATGGGCATCACCGGGGTCCGGCTGCAAGGACACTGGCTCCCGATGAGGTAAGAAGAGAAGATGGTGGTATGGGATCTGGTGTGCAGCAGCGGAGTGTTGGATTATAAGAGAACAACGCTGGATGTTTGTATGTTTATTGAGGATGACCCTGCAAACAAGGCAAGAGAGGAATGAAATAAAAATCATCAGGGAGGTTAAGGTCCCCTTTAAAGAGTAAGTTCATCTTTGTATTAAAGTATACCATGCAATAAAAGGGACCCCAGTATTTGATTTTTTTTTTTTTTAATAAAGCCAAATAGAGATTATTTTAAATGATAATACTGTAGGGAAAGCACAGCCTCCCTGAAGCCTGGCCAAAACGAGTGACATCACATCCTGCACAGAATCTAGGATAAGAGATCCATTGGGTGCATCCTTCAGCATCTAAACTCAGCTGCTGCTATGACAGGTGGAGGAAGAGCGCATGTACATTCATGAGACAGTGGGCACGCACTTATTCCTTAGATGCACCTAATGGATCTCTCATCCTCGATTCTGTGCAGGACACAGGAGGACGTCACTAGAGGAAGTTTCCTGGCCAGGCTCCATAAAAGCCATGCTTGGCTTACACACACGACACTTCATTCAGTTCTATCAGCCACAGCACAGTGGAATGTGGTTGTAGTGAGCTGCATCATGCTGCGCAGAATAGATATGAAGTACTGCATCCCGCATCCTTCTTTCCTAGCGCACACCACCGGAGCACAGTGGTGTGAACCGGGCTTGTTGGAAACAAGGCCATTTGACCCATCTTTGTGTTGGGACCACCCAGGGAAAGGTGCCAGCGCAGCCCCAACACATCAAGTGTGAACCGGCCCTCGAGCTCACACATATGCATTACTGTCTGTATAACCATTATACAATGAGGGGAATTTATCAAAACTGGAGCAGCTGTGCATAGTAACCTATCAGCTTCTCTGTTTCATTTCCAAATCTTAACTGAACAAACTATAGAGAAGCTGAATGGTTGACATGCACATCTGCTCCAGTTTTGATAAATTCCTTTCAACATCTTTTAGATTTACCAAAACTCTAATACAAGGAGCACCCTAAACATTCCAATCAGGCATGCCCTTGCACTAAACAGGGGATCCAAGAGAGATATGATTGTGATATATATGGTGGGCTTTAGATCTTCCCCCAGAATATACTGTTATGGTAGCACAAACTACACAAAGAATGTTGTGCCCAGCCCACACTGGGTGACCCCTGAACCTGGTTCAAGTCAGTACACAGCAATCAATACACCAAAAGATGTGCTCTGTACAGAAGGCCCAGACCAGCCAATCAGAAATCCCCTTGTTTTCATCTAATTAGAGTGAGCTCCAATCTAAGTGCTCAATATAACACATATCTTTGTACTGCCTTTATGTACAGGCCTGTAGTAGTCTCTGCAGTCGTTGTCACTGCATGCTGGGACTTGTAGTCTGTCGCCAGCTGGAAGGCCGCACATCACCAGTGCCCATGCCACACTGAGCACCAATGTTGTCAGCCATAAACCAGGCAAACACCACGACCGTCCATGTCCCCCGCCCACCCGGCCCTGGCACAGCTCGCACCCACCACGTCAACGACTCCAACACTGCGGAAATGAGGGACCGGCCGGCCCCGCCCGCACTGCTGGCAGCCCTTCTTCGCCGCACCGGACCCCTCAGCCACAGCGCCGCATCAGGCTGACATCACCAAAGCACACGGGGCAGCAGACATTAGCCTCTTACCGGTATCACCGATGATGATGTATTTGAAGAGATATGCGTACGCCATGTCCGGACCCCTGTCTGCTCGTCACTGCTTCTAGCGGACGCGCTGACGTAATCACGGGCTCGTGCACTGTCCTCCTCAGAAGCAAGCGTGATCGCGCATGCGCAGCCGGTGCTCAGTCTGCCTAACAGGTTGCTGCGTCGCTAAGGCCAGGTAATGTTGACCACGCCCCCCACTCAAGGACCTTTACCCAGAAGTCTGCGCTGCGGCCTGTATTTGTTGTGGGCCAATTTGGGCCCATTGAGGGCTAGTGCACACCTACCGCAGAGCAAATACAGTACGGATCAATATAGGCCATATTCAACAATAAATTGCGGATTTTTGCACCTGCAATCACAGTTTTGGCAAGCTGCAGCTGGAGAGCACGAAGAAAGCAATGACACAGCTGTCCGCTATTGTTTACACATCCATCAGTTACCTGCGGCTGGGGACATATAGCCGGCCCTGGACACAGACAGGTAACCACTGAATGTGATAAAGGAGAACTATGAGGTGAGTGATTTACACTCATCCTCATAGTTCGAGCCGACGTGTGACAATGAAACTGTCACACATCAGCTCTATTAATCGGGAAGCAAGCGTACACACACCATCGCTCGCTCAATTTCAATTAGTCTCCCTGCAGAGAACGGTGACTGTCAGACACCGCTCCCCGCAGGGACTCCTCTCCGATTCTCCAGCCCTGACTGGAGGAACGGACGGGTAGGGGGCGGGCACAGCTGGCTCTGCCTCTAGATTGACAACGGGCTCTGCCTATCAGCAAGTTGGGTGTATCCCGACTGTATTGTCAGGATCTGTCCCGGGTTGCGGCGCTCTCAGTATATAGAGGGGAATAGCTCGTTATATACTGAGTTTTGTGTCACAGAAGAGTTTAGTATATGTCCTCCTGTGACCCTATGAGAACTATGGGATACAAAGTTTACCCCTTAGTTCTCTTTTAATGCATATGGACAGCTGCACCTCCTCTCATTGCTTTGTACAGACTTCCTGCTATCCACAACCACCTGTCATTCCAGCAACAGGAATCCACTGACTGTCCCTAATTGCCAGTGTGAATGAGGCCCTACAAACTTTCATAGATGTGAACATGCGTAAGTTCGTTCACTTGTCTTGCGTACATTGTCACGTGCATGCGTACATTGTCACGTGCATGCGTACATTGTCACGTGCATGCGTTCGATACAAGTGGCTGTGCTTTTGTGTACTTTACTGTACAATACTGTACAGAGTACAGTATCTAGCCCAGGATGTCTGGAAGCAAGCGTGAAAGCAGTGGTGATGTAGCTTTGACTACTACTGCTAAAAAGCGCCAAGCGATAAAGATGGGAAGAAAAGTCAAAATAATTGAGAGACTGGAGCGAGGCGAAAAGATGGTGGATGTCACTCGTTCTTATAACATGAATCGTTCAACCATCGGCACCATTCTGAAGAACAAGGACAAGATAATGGAACATGTGAAGTGCCATGGCGCCTTAGGAACATGTGAAGTGCCATGACCGACACAGCTCGTCCTTGGGGCGGCTTCTCTCCTCCTCACCGCTGGCCATCCGACATGACAGCGCTCCCTCGTCCACCCCCCTCCCCCCCGGGGGAGGACTGGCTGCTGTCAGGATGGCGGAGCGGTGAGGGGGAGAGAAGCCGCGCCCGCAGCTGTCAGGATGGCCGAGCAGGTAGGAGATCGGAGCCGCTGTCATCCGGTCAATTTCAGGATGACAGCGGCTCTGTGCGTGGCAGAGCGGGGGATTGGTAAATACCATTGATATTTACCGGTCCTCCGTGTAAGAAGGACAAACACTGGAGCGATCGTCTGATCACTCCAGTGTTTGTAAATAACTGGGGACACATAGTGCTATGTGTCCCCAGTTATGAATGAACAGGCTGTGATTTACATCACGTTCTGTTCATTCAAGATTTCTGCAATGGGGAGAAGCACTCAGTACAGAGGCTCCTCCCCATTCAGAACCTGCTGATAGTAAATATTTTACTGAATGAATGGGGAGGAGCCTCTGTACTGAGTGCTTCCCATTCATTGAGTGCGGAGGCTGCTGAAAAAGAAATTGAGGATTTGGTGTCCTCACTTTCTTTTCTATTTTAAAAGGGAAATGTCAGGGGTCTGTTTGGACCCCTAATATTTTCCTGTAGCCCCCCCCAACAGTAAAAAAGAAATAAATAATAATGTAAAAAAAAATTATTTAACCACCTCCGGGCCGGCCGTAGTAAAAAAACAAAAAAAAAATTTGTCTCCCCCCAATTTTTTTTTAAAATTACACATAAAAAAGAATGTTTTAGTCCCCACCCGTACATACACGCATGCAAACATGCGTCGGGGGCGCATACGTGCAAAAAAGACGATTGCGCCCATTACGCCGCACATGTTACATATCGCCGCGAACGTCCGAGTGAGAGCAATAAGTCTAGGGCCACCAATCACTGATAACACTAAACTGATGAGCGGTAAAAGCTTTTTAAAGTGTCGCCTATGGCAAATTTTGGGTATGGTAGTTTTCTGCGATTTCGCGGGTGCGCGCAATTTTAAAGCTTGACATGTTTGGTGTCTATTTACCCGACGTGACCCCGTCTTTTATATTTTACCAAAAAACTGGGTAATAATAAATGTTTCCTAACATAATGTTAAAAAAAAATGTTTTTTTCAAAATTTTCTGTCATTTTTCCTAATTATAGTAAAAAATAAAAACCCCAGTGGTGTTTAAATACCACCAAAAGAAAGCTCTATCTGTCCCCAAAAAATGGTATAAAATTCATTTCAGTACAGCGTTGCATGACGGAATAAACTTCAGTCAAAGTACTGCAGAGCTGAACACTGAAAAATGGTCTGGCCAGGGAGGGGGTCTAAACACCTGGTCTTGAAATGGTTAAAAAAAGAATAAAAAATGTAAAAAATTATTTTGCAAAAGGGAAAACTGCCCCCCCCCACACACACACACACACACACACACACATATTATTAGACATGTGCGAAGATTAAAAATTAATTTCACATGAAATTAACGAAAACTAGAAACGTTTTCATTCGTTTCATTAAACAAAACAAATTTTTATGTTATTTTGGATTCAGCCATTGACGTGTTCTGGAGGCATGACATCATATAACACCGCACGTGTTGGGCACCGCCATCTTGGTGTATATCTAGGTATAGACCAAGATGGCAGTGCCTATATTATCGGCGTGTGATGTCACCTGACGCCACACATGCATGGCGTCATGTAACGTCATGCTCCCCACCTCCAAGATGGTGGCACACATTCACAGAACACGCCCGTGGCCAACATGGCCGCCGCACATTCTCAAACAAACTGAAGAAAGGGATCGGCATGACAACCTCACATCTAATTTTTTAGACTCTATTTCAGTTTGACATTTATTGTTTATCACTTGTTTGCCTTCTCTTGTTTTATTTGATAAGAATACTTATATTGTGCCTACAAATTTAATACCTTTGAATAAAAGTTTTATTTTAATCATACTTTTTAATATATTTTTGTTTGTGGCTTAACAAAATGGGAGTCTTTAAATGGTGCGGATATTGGGGGAAATGGGTGTGGTTACTGGGGGTGTGGCCACTGAGGGGTATGGTCACTTAGGGGCGCTGTAAAGCTTTCTCGCACGGGTCACCTAAAGGCTTAAGGCCAGCCATGGACACTTCTCAGTGTGTGGATGCAGGATCAGCATCACCTGTGCCATCAACGTCATGCGTGAGTGAAATTGCAGACTGCCCTCTGTCTGCTATTGCTGACGGTCTACCATCTCCCACCTCCTCTCTTTCTTCCAGTCACTAACTCTTCTTGCCTGTTTACTCAATGCCGGCCCCTGTATGCCAGCTGTTGTACTGTACTTTTCAAGGTACTGTAAAATTTTAAAAAACTTCTATATTTTTGTGTTTGTTTTCTATGTATTATTTGTGTGAAAAGTATTCTAAACCTATTACAGCACAGTACTATATAGCCAATTGTGTTAGTTGGGTATCTAGACTAACTTTGTTGGACCTATGAACAAATTGGACTTACGAACGTGCTCATGGAATGGAACTTGTTCGTATGTAAGGGACTTACTGTATTTTATTACGCCCATGTGCATGAGCCCTATTGTCACCATCCGGAGATACAGAAAAAAATATAGGTCTATCTGGTGTTTGGTTCTAATGATCTGTGGACGATTATATTTTAAAGTGGTGATTTTGCAATGTTAAAGTGACTCTAAACTCAGGATTTAAACCTTAAAAATGCATTCAATTACCATATTATCAAAAATGTATCTTATTTGTGTATCACTCAGCTGTAGATCCTCTAATAATCTCTGAATTGGTGCTGACACTGTCCTTCCTTCTGGAGGGTGGCTACTTTTGTTCCCCATGGTCTTTGTGTGTGTTGTAAAGTAGTCACCGCTCCAAGCTCACTCCTGTGATGGGCTACAATCTCAATACAAATTAGTAAACTAAACATGAGATTGTAGTCCATCACAGGAGTGAACTTGGAGCGGTGGCTACTTTATAATACACACAGGGACTATGGGGAGCAAAAGTAGATGAAGCTGCATAAGAAGAAATGGCAGAGTTGTATGATTGTTCCCCTGCCAGGGAATAAAGAAAAACCTCCCCTTTTTTTCATTCCCTACAGCAATGTGAGTATGCCACAACTACACTATACTTTCCCCAGTCTCAAAAAAAAAAAAAAATGTCATTTTTTCTGAATTTCAAATTTAAACCTGATTACCATAGCACTGAAATACCCTGTGCACTGGTCCCAACACATCACTTAACCCCTTCATGACTGAGCTAGTTTTCAGTTTCTGTTCATAAATGACTGACACACTTTTTACATTTTTGCTGTGTGATTCTTCCACAGCAGTAATATACTTTCTTACTAAATGTACCCACACATATTATATATAGTTTTTTAGAGGACATATAGGGCTATATAATTGTATCACATGTGTACCTAACCCCTTACTTAGTTTGAATAAAATAAAAAAATTAGGAAAAAAACTAGAAGAAAACACTTTTTTCACAAGTTATGATTATTATTAATTTTTGTAGAAATTTTTATTTTCCTAATTTTGTTTTACAGTTTATTTAATTTTTTTTACACTTTGTTAA